ACCTAAAAAATTCCATCCAATATCCTTATAATCTGTAATAGAAACAAGCGTAAAATAATCATACAGGAAATAGCAAGGTAAAGATTTTACACATCTAAATGCAACTGCTAGTAATTCAGGTCTTTTCTCATGCTAATAATAGAACTGCTTAGATTTAGCGGCAGAAGACAATTGCATGTCACGGAGGGGCATAATACAAAATGAGAAACTTTTAATATCTGTGAGAAAAATTACATTATTAGCATTCATAGCATAGCCTATAATGTCCTGTATTTCCATTACTTAAGAGTAGCATTTGTTTGATCTATTCAGAGTGATTCTGGATAGGAAGATCTAATTCACGAACACAATCTTACTACAGCATCTGAGACCAACAGGACTGTTGCTGCCTTTCCCGCACACCACAGGACATCTGAGTACAGACTATAAGGACACATTCATGTTTAATTATTATGAAAATGTCATATAAAGAATGAGAAGGAAGTTAAATCACTGTAAAAAAATTTAAACTGGAAGCTGGTAAGGTTTTAATAACACTCTGCATGTGAATTATGCTTCCAATAACACATAAATGTATTATGAAACTTTAGCTGGTATAAAGCAGTTTCTTATGGCTTAATGTATTTGGAAAGAGAATGGCTGTACTTTGCGGTAACAGAAATACCAATTATGAATCAAACTTGCAGTTTAATTCACTTAATTATAAGTTACAGCAAAAGCCATGTTTAAACACTTTTTCTTCAGTTTGTGAAAGTGGAGAAACAATATTAGTTTCCCCGTATTTACTGCAGTGCAGTAACGAAACCCCAACCATTCACTGCACTGCCATGTGTGTGCCTCTCCCTTTAGCTGGACTCCAGCAGTGCCACTGGCCACCTCCCCGCTCTGCCTCCTGCCCTCTGCCACACGGAAATGGCGGCTCCTGTCATGGGCCATCTCCTTTTTCCCCTGCCACAGCACCTCCAGCCTTACCTCGTATCCCAGGATATCCAACCCCGCAAATGTTACAAGCATCTACAGGAGAGGGTAGAGATGTAATTTTGAAGGAAGCTAACACACTCGATACTTGGTGAGTCGAGTGCCTGTGCCCAGATGTTGGTGGGAATCTCTGTGAGGAGAGGTCAGGTTGCCCCGTGCCTGACACAGCCGGATCCATCCAGTTCCAACCGGTTCCACAGCAGCTCCACGGCAGGGCACAGCTGAGCCCATCACCAGCGCTGGTGGTGCCTCTGTGGTAGCAGGTTTAGGAAGGGGAAAACCCTGTGCAGCTGTGAGAAGTGAGGAGGAAAGTGTGAGCAACAAGCCCTGTGAGCACCCAAGCCAGAGAAGGAGGAAGAGCTGCAGGTGCCTGAGGAGAACCTCCCCTGGGGATACCACAGTGGAGCAGAGTTTCTCGTGAAGGACTGTGGCCTGTGGAGAGGATCCACCCTGGGGCAGGGGAAAAGCTTGAGCACTGGGTTGTATAAACTGAGAATAGCACACACACATGTTCTGTCACAAGCCATGTGAATTGTCCCAGAAAAAATCCAACCTGCTGAGACCACCTTGCCTCAGCAACAGCATCACTGGACATTTTGAAGATGGCTTGTGGTGGCCTCATGTCAAAAGTTACTTGCTCTTCAGCTTCTTAATCATTTTACTTGCTAATGGAGAGAAGATGAGCAGCTCTGTTCTTCCAGTACAGCTTCTCCAATAAAAAAAATAAAATTAAAAAAAAACCTGTGTTGGTGTACTAGGTTTTATCTACATACTAATTAATATCCCTCTGCTAGAAAAATTAACATGTTAAGGAGTATTTGCATGAAGAAGATATTCTTATTGCACTACAAGATTTTTACCTCATACTTGTGGAAGCATTAGTCTGTTTAAAAAAAGGCCTCAGCACAATGCTGACTGCAGGGGAGGCAGGACAGAGCCTGGCAGCTCCCATTTGCCCTGCCTGCTTCTTTTAGGATTTAAATCGCAACTCAGAGCCCATCCCTACATCTGCTTTAGCTGGAATTGAGTAAGAACATCTAAAATTTACACAGATGGACCCCCTTCAGCCTCAGGACAGCTGCCAAGCTTTCAAAAGCCACTGCTATTCTGTTCCCCCTGCTCCACCTCTGAGAAGGCATCTACATTGTTTCGCATACATTTATTACTAACATGAAATATTTATTACCCTTTCCAGCTTTAAGTTCTGTTCAGTGTTTTATCTCAAACCTCAAGTTAGCACAAAAAAAACCTCATACAACTGGAAAGATTTCAGTTCCTAAACCCATGGAAGCTGCAGTTACTTCACAAGATGACAATTAAAAGTTTATTTGCATTGTACATGGTCAACTTTCTTACACTTTAAATTATCATGTTACAGCCGTACAAGAGCTTTTAAAGAGATCTTAAAGGATTTGAACATGCATTGTCTCATTACTCTTATACAACCTGTCAATAAACCAATGTTTTGCACACGACTGGAAGTGCCTGGCATGTTGTTTATAACTGTCTATGCCAAAAGCAGAACTCATTTTAACATTCCTGAGCATTTCAGACCCCACACCTTGACCTCCAAGGTAACAGAAATCCCTCATAATACAGCATCCCATCTCTGAAAACCCACAAGTGCAAACTGGCCCCAGCCCACTAGCCAAGCATATGGGCTTCTAGATTACCCATTGGGCATCCCTGCCTGCACAGGCAGCCCTGCCCCTGACAATTAGGGCACCCACAGCTTCTGACTGCCTGCACAAGGGGCATTTGGGGAAGATGGATGGAATGCAAGCAGATGGTCTGTAGACCAGGGTCAATGAAAGCAAAAACTCAGCCTGCAACAACAAAGGTGGAGGACACATGCTGAGGACCTGCTAGAAAGACACAGGAAATATGAGTGGCACAGCACAGAGGTTTGGCCAGGCTGCCCACTGCAGAACAGCAGCAGGGAGAAAGACCAGGAAGGGCTGTGAGATGGGGACAAACAGCCGAGCAGGGCTGATGTGCAGCCAAGAGAATGAGAAGCAGCTCTGAGAGGCTGAGGCCAGCCTGCCACAGGAAGCACAGGGCTGAAAACTGAGCACACCCACCCACCTCAATTGGGTACTGCCACCCAGTCAGCTGGAGGACACAGCCTGCAGGCTGGAAGGGGACACCAGTCCCAGCTCCCCTGTGGGCGCAAGGCTGCAAGGGAGTCCAGGCCCCACCCACATCTGGCAAAGGCTCTGGGAGCTCCCAGGCCAAGGGGTCACCCTCAGTGTTCATCTGCCCCAGCAGTGAGGCTGGCACCCTCCTTCTCAGGAGCATGGGAAGGTCATTTTTCAGTTCCTCCACAAGGTGGACAGGCAACTTAAGTTGAGCTCAAAGGATTAAAGGGTGTTGTTCAGAAAAAAAATTATACATATTTATACTCACACACAAATAGAAGGAGAGTCTGAAAGACCAGAGTTAGGGTCAGGAAACATCCTGCAGTGTAAGGTGAAGTGTCTCACCTTCCACAGACTCCAGCCCCAACTTCAGTAATTCCATCTGTTCCCCAGCAGACTTCTTTGAAGAAGCAATGTGCTGATAGATTAAGAACCCCTTCCTAGAGTAAGCAGCTCCAAACAACCGCCACTTCTGTCTTCTACTATTGCTTTGCCCATTAATAACCCCTTCCCAGAGTAAGCAGCTCCAAATAACTGCCACTTCTGTCTTCTACTATTGCTTTGCCTGAAACTCTACCCCTAAGCCCAGAAAAAACAAACCCCGCTTAAAAAACACATTTTGAAATCCTACCAAATGTCTGTTTTCTATTATGTTAACCACTGGCTAGTCAACATCCTTCCCCGGCTTTAAGGAGAACAGCTGCCAAGAAGTGGCCTTCAACTTGCTTAAACTGCAAAAGCTTTATTACAGACACACTACCCTACAAGAGACAAATTCCACCTGGATGTTGATATTTCACATTATTCCCACATGTTAAACATTTAAAAATATACAAGTTACTTGAGCTTTAAGCAATGTACTAAAATACAAAGACCAAAGCGTCTCCTTTATTAAGACTTCAAAAAGACAGTATGCTCACCCCTGCTTTTGCTGAAACAGGTGAAGTCACAGCTCACTTCACATGTCCTTGGCCGTTATTGCCTACTGCACATTCAGCTTCCACATCATTAGTCAGACATGTTGTTTCTGGCAGAAACTCCCTCCCATTTCAGCAAGCCTCATATGTTTAAAGAGCTGATCCCACCAGCACCCATTTCCTCTCCCTCACTTCTTGCTAATGGGGTAATGGATCTTCACAATTCTTGTAGTTCCATAATTATGGGTATAAGATATAGGGCTTGTTCCTATTTTCAACAGTGCTGCTTTTTTCAGAAGATTAAAAAAAAAGCCCACATATTTTATGGTATGCAACAGAGTAACAAAAAAAGCTATGTATCAGCCAAACAGGCAGTGTATAACTTAGTTCTGCTTGTAGATGAAGTTATGCAAAGGCTCCTGGTGTTAAACATGTGGAGGGCAAGAACACCCCAGCATCCTATAAAGTGACAGCCCGCCTCCTGGCAGCTCCTCGCTTGTAGAAGAATCAAATGTGTATTCCAGATACTTTGCGCTGCATTCCCTCATGTCAGCAGCTCTTGTGAACAGCTCCAATCCCTCCAGGCAAAGAGGACACCTGCCTTCCACGTCTCAGCTGTGGTATGCTTGAAGAAAAGCACACCAGTGCACAAGAATAAAATGCAACCAAGGAGACAGGATAGAACAGTAGGAAGGTCCCTCAGGCATGTCCTTGTTCAGTCATTTCATTTGCTAGAGTTGCATCTGTGACACAGAAGTACTTAAGACTGTGGACAAAGGGTCTACAGAAGCCTTCCAAATTTCAGAGGTATGATATGGGAAGACTTCTACACATCCAGAGTTAGATGAATAAAACAAACATTTAAAAAATCCTTTGACTTCATCAGTGTAATCAAATATACTCAATAGCAACACTGCTGCAACGCAGTAGTCTGGGCTGATGCCTCACAGAGGCCAGGAGAGCACTCTCAGCTGCATTCCCAGTTCTCCTTCTCATCAGCACCTGAATGGGTGCATAGGGAATCCTAGGAGGAAGGAAAAAAAAATAAATAAAAAGAAAAAACAACACACCACTAAGATTTCTTGTGTGCCCACTTCCCCTTTAGTCCTTACTGCAAGAGGAGGATCAAAGACCCCAACCCTCCCTTTCACCCACAGGGTCAGGTAGCATTATACCATCCAAATGCTACAGCAGGTGATTTGCCAAGAGCTGCCCCACCACATTCCCTCTTTGCAGTTTCATCCCTCCTACCACCACAAGTTTTAATTTGAGTGATCTTGCTCAGGAAGAAAAAGCATCTCAGTGCAAACATCTCTCAGCCTGGTTGCACAAGGCAGTCTTTGCTAGCACAGGATTTTTCTTTACCTGGGTTAGAAGCTGATGACGTCTCAGGTGCCTATAGAACTGCAACACAGAAGGATCAGCTCTCACTACTTTTGGGTCAAAATCCAGAACACGGAGACCTGCAAGGCTACGGGCTCGGGAGAGGGCTACATAGGCCTGCCCACTTTCAAAGACACGAGACAGAGAGATTTCCACACAATCTAAAGACATGCCCTATGAAAGACACAGAGAAGCTTGTTACAGAACAAAGAACATTGTAATGTATCAACACTAACCTGTCCTGTGAGTCTGTCAAAGGTACCATCCTCAATGCACAGCCTAGATTAAAAAAGAGGAAGCTCCTTGCTTGACTATAACCCACTAAAATATGGGGGGGAAGGAAGAAAAAAAAAAAGAAAAAGGACAGTTTTGCACTGTCAGGAAGTTCCTAGCAGACAGTAAGATCCACTAACTCTGATGAGCCTCTTGGGTGAAACTCCACAAAGCCCGTATACCCAATACAGGGGGAAAGAAATCCTGCTGTTTTCACTCATAGTAATTAACTGAAGGAGCAGCCAGGCTCAAGCAGTGCTCAGGCAGACCATCTGAGACAGAGTTTGGGTTAGGCCTGGCCAGCCCTCTCTGCACCAAGAGATGTCCCAGGAAGTGGAAGAATTTACAAAATGAACTGTTTTAAACAGCAGCATGGGAACAAACGTCTGCACCAAGAGATGTCGCAGGAAGTGGAAGAATTTACAAAATGGACTGTTTTAAACAGCAGCATGGGAACAAACTCGCAGGTCTTTTACTGAGACATGTATTTATCAAAGTGTATGAGGTCTTCTGGAAAGGTAGGAACCATATTACTTAAACTGAAAACACCCAACACACCTCTGAAGGGAAACTCCAGCCCAGGGAGCACACCTGTGACTCCTGCACCTTCCTCAGGTACACAGCAAACCTCAGGGTCACTGAAGGTGATGGCCATCAGGGAAACACTACCCTGATCAGCCCACAGCAGTAAACAATGATACTTTATAGTCCAACACCAAGTACGCAGTTTGCAGCACCCTTACAGAAACCTGGTGTCAAAGATAGGCTGGCAATGCTGCTATAGACAAGTATCACAAACAGGAGAAGAGGTGCTGCGTTCTCTGCAGCTAAAGAGACACATACCCTAGAGCTCCCCCACAACAAGGGCCTTTCAGTATTCCTGTTTTACCAGCAATGGAAGCTCACTCAGAAAATAAGGCTTATGATGGTATAAAAGTATAGGCAGCTGTATAAGCACACTCACCTGACTCTTGTGAATGGAAATGGCCCATGCCAATTTTAAAGGCAACTGTTGACGACTCAGATGAACTCCTGATGGTCCTTTGAAGACCCATTTCTCCATTTTGATGACCTGGGTGATCCCACAGAGAAATCTAACCTTAGGCAGCCCTGTAGGAATGGCAGCAGGAGAGAAATATGGATGTATTCCTGACACTCAACAGCCAGGAAGCCAGCAGCCCAAGAACAGTTTTTCCCCCCTCCTTCCCCCTGTCAGTCTTTCATGACTATTAGGGCTACATTAAAAAAAATAAAATCCCACACACAGTAAATAGGATATTCTGAAATTACATTTGGGGCCTGTTTAAGCAGGAGAGTTAAAGTCAGATAAATTATCAGTTGGGATGCAGAGAAAAACACACATTGCAGGCAGCAGAACATTATTCTGAGAAAAAAAAAAAAAACCAAGACTTGCTTCAACAGAACAGACAGGAAATGCAAATGAGCTTTCACATCTAGAGAATAAGGAAAAGCAAACACAGGAGGCCCTACAGATAGCTACAGCTGATGCAGCACACGATGTCACAGCTCAGGAGAACCCCAAGCCTCTTGCTGCAGAGACGACCTCCTCGCTACTTTCCCTCAAGTTATTCTTACCAGGCAGTAGACAAAATGAACAAGTCATCAACAGTCAATTTTTTTTGTTTTTCCCCCTCCATTAAAAGATCAAAGAGTTTACTTACCCTTCTCTTCACTTTCAAATCCTACAACAACTCCTCGTGCCCCATTCACCAGCCCTTGAGACACATCCAGATTTTTTGCTAGCATCACCTACAGAAAAAAAGAAAAACCCCTTAGTGCACAAGCTTTACACCCTGTTCAGCCACCTGCAGCTCAATTTCTAGCCAAGAAGCATAAGCACAGCAGGCTCACGTGGCCACAGCCACATCATCCTATTGCAGGATACAGCATTGTCTCCAATTTAACTGAAACTATTTCACAGCCTTTCCTTCCTAGGATTCCCAGCTACATTATTCTACAGCACCAAACACTGCTTCTGTCCACAGCTGTGAGCTCAGATCCAGGGAACAGAGTCCCCTTCCCCAGACACCAACCAGCCTAGACATATATAGATTCCGGGAACATCTAAGGAACAGCTTCCCAAGGCAAACAGTGCTGCTGCTAAGCACAGTCATGCATCCTTTTCACCCTGACAGCCCTAGCTCACAGCAAGGAGTCCAGTCCTACAAATTTGGCAATGTGTGCCATACTTGCCAGTCAGGAGGTCTGCTGCACCTGAAGCTGAGACTGCAGGCAAGGACTGCCTGTGCTCTCTGCTATCTGGAAGCTTCTAAACCCAGTTGGAAATGTGTGTCAAAGTCATAGTGGTCACCACTGTCCCTGAGACATGGATCTGCACTCAAATCAGTTCTCTGTCTAGATAAGATTCCAAGCAGAAAGGCTACAAAGACCAGGCTAGAGTCTTCTGTTGGCCTGGCACAGCTGTTCTATACAGAATCAGCATTCTAGACATTAATCTACTCTATACATTTACCTGCTATGACTTTTTTATGCCATGTGAGCCACTGGTCTTTTAAAATGTATGTACACACACTTACCTGAGCTCCAAGCTTTAGCTCAACTCTACCACCCACAGGACACTGAGCATCAATTAACTTCACTAGCATTGGGTCACTGTCCAAAGCCTCAAAAGTATGCATGTCTCCTATTAAGGAAAGAAATAGGAGAAATTGCAACCACTGAACAAATCCCACAGTGTTGCAGGAGCACTTATTTCTAACACAAGTCCTCTTTTAATACCCATTCTGCTCTGCTGGTAGGACATCTTTACACAAAACTTGTTATCTAACAGCAGAAAGCTCACTATTGCCTTTCTTCCCAACATACCTCCCAGAGCATGAGAAGGCTCAGGAATCAAAGGCCAGCAGTAAATAAGAACTGAGCAGTCACCATTTTGAGTATATGACCAGTTTTACTTGCTGCCAACACCAGATGGCCAAAGAGGACTAAGAAGCAATCTCACCCCACAGCTAGTAACGAGCTCACCATTTCTTACACAGCAAGTAGCAGCAATGTGGATTTCTAAGCAAAAAGCTGTAAAGTTTTTCCCCAGGCAGGTCAACTCCAACACACACAGCTTGGACACCACAGCCTCCCCATTGCTTCTACTCATCCCCAAAAGCAGCAGCTTCCTCCAAGGAGTTCACCTGACAGCTGTTGCAAGCGTCTCTCATTGGTTATTTCTACATCATCCTTATGGGTGCAGAGCCGTGTAGCCAGGATCCCATCACGCTCAGACCTGTTAGTAGCTGTCTGCATCAGCAGCCTGGTAACCTCCTCTGTGCACCTGGTACCCAGGAAAAGGGGATTATTAAAGTGATTGGGAACAGGTCTCGCACAGCAGTAACCTCCACACAGCTGGTTCAGGCTGTGCAAGCCCCAGGCCTCTAGAGAGGACAGAGGAAGATACCTACACAAACTTGGAGAGCAGTACAAGTGTCTGCCCCAGCCCTACCCTGCCCACTGCCAGCTCAGGAACCATCACACTCCTTAGCAGAAATTGCAAAGGGCCCTGGAAAGAGTCCTTCCTTACCAGAGCAGCATATATGAAACCTGCTTACATTAACTAAAGCATTTATAGCCCCCAGCCACACATTCCTGATAGACCACAGGGAAGAAGTGACAAACTGCCCTTTCCTCTGCCCTGTCAGTAGGGAGCAGGGGTTACAAATAGAGGAGAGTTTCTTCTCACCTGCCTAAACGAACTGCGCTCAGGAGCGAGACAAAGGTCTTGTCAGTCTGTCTCCGCACTTCAGTCAGCTCCATGTTTATGTTGATGCATTTCCTCCAGCTTTTTGCCTGGCAAATCATTCTCTTGTTAAAAAATGAGGAAGACTTGAAGTATGAGGAGTTTAGGGACAGTTTTGTACCTGGAAGCAAAACTTCATTTCTTCATTAGCCTTGCAGACTGGGGGTAGCTGCAAGAAGTCCCCACAGATGATTAACTGAATTCCTCCAAAAGGCTCATCCCGTTTTCTGACTGCCCTGAAAGGGAGGGAAGAGAGAAGCTTTGAATGCCCTCCAGGACCTGGACACAGTCAGGTCTCAGAAGTTACTTCTAACTTCTAGTATCAGTATATTCAAACATACACCACCTGCAGTAAAAGATGATTATCCTCATCTGTGTCAGAAGAGCTCAAATAATTAAGCAATACTATTACAAGACATTAAAGTTTGCTTTGCTTACCCACCCCAGATGCCATTACCACTCTTGGTTCTTTGGTAGGTGCTGTACTATACCTGCTTCTCTCTGCAAGAGAGAACTGCTGGGCACAGCCCAAATGGACAGCTCTACTCTCGACTCAGCTCTAGAAACAACACTTGGCTCTGGAGATGTAAACAGCAACCAGAACAGCCACAGCTGGGAACCAGGGACATGATCAAAACTTATCTCAAGATAAAGGTCTGCCCAGATGCTGGCTATGATTCCATGCTTCCTTCCAGTCCTATGCCAGTGATTTGCCTTCTCTCCCTTCACATAACCAGAGGAAGGAAGCAGCCTTAAGATTTATGGAAATTAATTTCTGTTAGTTGTTTGACTTGACACTCACCTTGCCACTGCCTCCAGCCTGTCAAAGAACTTGCCATCCACCATGGAGATCTCAT